AGCTTCTTGAAGAGAAAATGGTGTTTGCAAAATTTCAAAATGATGATATTAAAAACTGAGGGACTAGTTCGTATATATACAGACAGACGGACAGACAGACAGACGGACATGGCTAAATCGAMTCAGCTCAACATACTGATCATTGATATATATACTTTATAGGGTCTCCGACGCTTTCTTCTGGGTGTTAAAAACTTCGTGACAAAATTAATATACCCTGTTCAGGGTATAAAAACGCTATCTTCRGTTGCACCGAAGTTCTTCTCGACAAAAAATCCTATAAAACAACCAAGAGTGATAGATGAAAAGATTACGTCAACCAAATTCATATGACGTCAGCATAGAAAAATTTTCAAATAGCATGTAAATTGTAAAAAAAGAGTTGGGTGTTAGTGTATCTTCAATAGTCAACATTTCTGYTTGCATCAAACAAACCGAAAGTGATTCTGCGCGACCTCTAGAGAGGCTCTAAAAGCAATTCTTTTATAACCGGGAATGAACATGTTCACATAACCGAACACGGACACGGTTTTGATAATACTTCATTCAAATTATGTCCACTAAAMGGACAAGATTTCATAAAATGTGTAAAMACATTATATGTATATATTTTGTAGATGGTGATCCACTACGAGGTTCCCTACTTTTTTAACGAAAAAGACAGAAACTTCAAATTTATTGGAGAATATTTATTATCATTCGAGAGAACATTCTTTGGCATTTAGTTTTAGAAGATAACCTCCTTGAAATGTTGGCCGTGCTTACGTCTCAGATGTGCCATTATTTGAGTCCAATATTCGACGACACGTTCGAGGTAACTGGCGAATGACGCGCTTGATGTTTTGCTCGTGGCCCTGAATCGAAGAGGTATTATTCACATAAACTTTAGACTTTACATTTCCCCACTGGAAAGAGTCTAACGGTGTGATATCACACGATTTTGTGGTCTAAAATTCTATTTCCAATCCTTAATTCTTATTATTTTGTGGAATTCTGTGACACTTTTTTTTAGGTACAGTACAAATGATGACCGCAACAAATTGACTTACCCTAGCGCCGTCTGGTTCGCTTTGATTCAACGAAAACTAATAGGATAATCGTCATTCATGCATTCTCGCATGGATTATGGATTCGCAATTATTAGTTCAATAGATATGTAGTCCTAAGTTGCAGCTGCTGACTCTAAGGGTACATGTAAACATTTTTACGTCGCACGTCCTCATATATACGCCAAATTTCGGAAAAGACCCGTGAAAAGAAAATCGACACATAGGCCATCTCTTCGTCGATTTTAAAGCTGCTTTTCACAGCTCAAAGCAGGAGCTGCCTTTCGTATCCCCGCAAAACGAATACGGCTGTGTAAGCTGAAGTTAAGCAATACCAAAACTTCGATACAAAACGAGGTTTCAGACAAGGTGACTCGCTTTCGAGCGACTTCTTCAATCTACTATTCGAGAAAATAATTTCAGCTGCAAAGCTGATTAGAGAAGGTACAATCTGACATCGATATCAACCGCGCCGTTAGTTCTGCTTTCTCTATACTGGATAAAGAAGCGATGTAAATGGGTCTGGTAATGAACGAGGGCAAGACGAAATATTAACAGTCATAACCTTGAAGCCGTAGATAGTTTCATCTATCTTGGAACCAGTATTAACATCTACCACAATATCAGCCTCACAATCCTACGCAGAATACTCTTGCCAACAGGTGCTACTTCTGATTAAGTAGGCAATTGAGAAGTAAAGTCCTCTCTCGACGAACAAAGACAAATCATTTATCATCCTAAGTCATGTCGTCCGAATGTATGAAAACTATCCAGCTCTGAGAGTACTCGACGCACTACCCGCCGGGGGAAGCAGAGGAAGACCTCCACTCCGTTGGAAGCACCAAGTGGAGAAGTACCTGGCTTCACTTGGAATATCCAATTGGCGCCACGTAGCGAAAAGAAGAAACGACTGGCACGCTGTTGTTAACTCGGCTACAATCGCGTCAGCGGTGTCTAGGCCAATAAAGAGGTTTTTGTGTTCTCATAGTTCGGCCATATCTGTTTCGTAATTCTGCATTTGGTTKTAGAACTCCATCTATTCAGCGCAGTTTGATCAAATCTCTCTTGCACAAAAATAGTTCAAATCGTATCATAAATTTCCAACCAAATATGTACTATGGATCTTAGTGCCTATATCTGACTTTGAAATATGTTAATGAAAGAGATTTTTTACTGACAATAGTGTACACTTTGTCAATTCTTGAAAATAAATCCCCAACTTTTGCAATATTATAAAATTATCTGTTACACCCGAAGTTGTCCCGTTCTTACTTGTTTACARTCTTTGATCTTTGCAAATTGAAGGATTAAAAATGTTCGGTTAAACGATCTTAGTGCTGCATAATTGTTTTAACTKAAGTATAAGCTCATAAATTTGTATACCCTGATCAGGGTATATTAAGTTCGTCACGAATTTTGTAATACCCAGAAGGAAGCATCGGAGACCCTATAAAGTATATATAYAAATGATCAGTATTTCGAGCTGAGTCCGTCTGTTTGTCTGTATATATACGAACTAGTCCCTCAGTTTTTAAGATATCGTTTTGAAATTTTGTAAACGTCATTTCTCTTCAAGAAGCTACTTATTAGTCRGAACTGCCGATATCAGACCACTATAACATATAGCTGCCATACACACTGAACGATCGGAATCAAGTTCTTGTATGGAAAATTTTCACATTTGACGATATATGAGGTATTGTTCATAGAAATAATGTAATTTTAGAAGAAATTGTTCAGATCGACTCACTATAGCATATATTTGTCATAAAAACCGAACGATCGGAATCAAGAGGTTGTATGGAAAATTTCGCATTTGATGTAGCATTTCCAGGAAATTTGATGGAATACTGCTTAAGGAAATAATATAATCTCCGAAAAAAATTAGATTCGATTACTATAGCATATAGCTTCCATACAAACTGGACACATAGTTACTAAAAGAAATGCACCTGTGAAGGGTATATTACCTTCGATGCAGCCGAAGTTAACGTTTTTTCTTGTTTATTTTAAATTTGCATTCTTTAAATGTCAAACATATTTTGTTCGTGTAAAGTAATATTTATTTTAAAAATCTGAAAAATGGAGGTTCTTATTAAATWTTGCAAACTTGTGGCATTTATTGCAAACTTGCAAACGCAAAGTGGCAATATCGCAAAACAGATGTTCATTTTTACAACAATTTACTTTGCGACAAAGTTTTAACTGTGCGAGACTTCTTTCGGTGACTTCCATGGCACTTTCTTTCAATTCAAAGAATATTAACCTTCCTTTACCTGTAATTAAAATTACCTTAAGGCTTTTATTTAAACTGATAGCTGATTGAAGATTATTGTGATATGTGTATGGGAGAGTTTAAAAAAAGGCGCAGTATTTCGGGAATAGAGACTTTTAGATTGATTTAGATATTTTAACTCCTGGAAACTACAGATCCAAAATTTTCAGCATGTAATATTTCAAATTAGTTCTCTACCAAATTTAGTCCAATTCGGTGGACATCATTAGGGGCGGTCAGATATCGAATATGTAGATGTTTTGATATGTTTCTACCGAAAATATCGATCAATTCTTTTCCTGATAATAGTATGTCCTTTGCCAATTCCTAAAAATATGACCGGCCTTCATCTTGGAAAATCGCGAGTCAATTGGACGTCTTGGTCGGGCGATTTTACGCCGTTAGACTATTTCTTGTGGGACTACGTCAAGTCTATGGTCAATTCCACCAAGCCAGAGACGATATTGCAGCAGTATTTACTAATGGAATTTATGCTCGAAAACCGTCGAAAATTGGGAACGGACCGATAAAAATAAATGTATGAAAACGTTTGTATTTGTGAATTATTAAAGCTTCAGTGTGGCCGAATTTAAAATGTGTTAATTTTTGAGTGAATTATTGGCAACTCTGTCTTTTGGATTCTGATAATTACTTGTATAGATTTAGCTTACATTAAAATTGTTTCTCATACTTTATTAACGTTAACAGTAATTATTTTTAAATTTTATAGGCACGATTTTTTAAGAATAAAAAATATTTGTACAAATTTTTGAAAATATTAGAAACAAAAATCGAAAATTTTTACATTACTATGCTTAACAATCGCCTAATATATGGTATATTTTAAGTTCCATGCAAATTAGGATGGTGCCCAGAGCTGTTGTAGACAGCTTTTGCGACTTCGTCTTTCAAAGTTGACGGAGGATCTGACAAAATATCGGTTTTCATCGATAAGTACTTTAATTTATTAGAAACAGCTGTTGGAAAAAAAAATATACTGATATAGTTATTTAAATAAACTTTAATAACACTACAAACCTGGTCGCAAGTCAATCAGTGAACAATGCTGGTCGACCCATAAAAACGCTGTGCGTCGTAATTCCTCCAAACTGGCACTGGACACTGACGCTGTGTATGAGGTTAGCAGGGGTTCTAATATAAGTCCCAACTGYAAAAAAATATTAGATTACAATAGTCAAGGCCTTTACACTTTTTTATATGACTTATTAGAAACTTACAATCCAAAATTTCCAGTCTTGCATTGTACGGTGACGCACATACTGATCATACAACTGCCGAACATGTTCGGTGCCCTGACGTGTAACAGGCGCGCCATTGGCTGGGAGAATTGAGTGCAAATGCCTGTCGCGAAAATTAAATTTTTGTATTAATAGGATCATGTGAGCATTTAGAAACTGATATGTATGTATCTTAACATAATCTATAAAAACTGATATKTATGTACCTTAATATAATCTATAAAAATCAAAATCCCTACGTACGAATTACAAAACCCTATATATACCCTGGCTATGAACCAAAAACTTACTATAATTGGTATAATCTATTTTGGTCAGAACTTACGTTAGAGAGTTATTGAGAATGTCTCTCTCCTTAAGCAAAGCTTCCATGTGATCCTTCAATTGATTACGTTCCGCACGCAAATGTTTAATGTGATCCGCACCTTTTTGCAGCATAGCCGCTTTACTCAGCTGCAAAGATGAAAGTAATTAGTGTTAAAACATTTCCCTACAATGATATTTTGAAGCGATATCACCTACCTTGGCATTGGGATTTTGTTGGAGTTGCGGTATAAGTGAATGTAATAAATCGAAGCCATTTTTAATGTTATACCGTCGTTTTTGTTCGGCATGTATATGACCGGCGCGTCTTTGATTATCGCGTGGAAATTTCAAACTATGTGTTGGTGAAAGCGGTGAATCTTGATCATGAAAGGAATCTGGTGATAAGCTCAAAGTATTAGTGCACATGGCTGCTTGATTGGCTGTCGGCGGGTAACTTAACATCTGATTGATGGAAATTAGGAATTGTAGATATGTATTTATGATATTTTYCGACTGCTTATGTAAATTAATTTAATTTTTTTAAATTTTACCTTACTGCAAGGTGGGCTATGTAACATTTGTGGTGCCGCTGGTGTTGGCAGTGAAGTACATTTTTTTGGTGACAGTTGTTCTTGATGCATTTGCATGCTGTGACGAGTGTATGATGAATCCGCTGATGTTCCGGACGCGTTAGTGGACGCGCATTGTACATTGGAAGTTGCAAAGTAATTGGCGCTGGCTGACGTGTTGCCGATATTTTGTGATTTATTTGTATTTACAGTTATGGTCGAAGACGCTGGTGATGGTACCACCACTGCGGGCATCGATATCGCAGGCATCGGTAAATTTATGTTTGATATGGCACTTGAGGACGAACTTTGTTTCTTAAGCAACGAGCGTGAGCCTAGATAATATATGATATAAATTTTATTTCTGGAATATTGAAGTAAATCACAAAAATATTGTTTATTTATCTATGGAGTTAATTAGCTGAAAAAAACTTTCTGGAGCTTTTCACTTAGCTTACTGTTGTTACTATAGCTCGTCTCATAAAAATTTTACATGTGGGTATTACTAAATTGAAACTAGCATTCGGACAAAACATTTAATAAAGCTGTAATCCAAATTTTTAATTTTTTCGGAAACCTGTCAGACTTTTCCCTGAGATCTAACTCCTTGCTAGTTCAGTTTGTATGGCTTAAGCAATAATGGTCAGATTTCGGCGGTTCCGATAAATGAGTAGCTTCGCGGCTGTGCCTAAATCGATTCAGCTCGTCACGCATTTGTTTATATATTTTATACGGTCTCCGATGTTTCTTCAGTGTGTTACAAACTTCGTGGCAAACATAATATACCCTGTTTAGGGTATAAAAAGTTTTGAATAATTGCTACAACAAACAACAGCATTGATATGTGGCGCTTTCTTTATTATTATTGTATAAGCGTAAAAACCCTAATTGATTCTRGGTTATACTCCTAAACTTAGACTTTATGAGCTGATTAAAATGCTGAACAATTCAGATTACATAGATACAATTTTATGGMAATTGGAGAATTGCTCACCATTCATAATTCTAAGAGGATTCAAATGAATCAACTAGATTTGTCTTATGTGAACTTCATATCAAAAATGGCAAGCAGTCAAAGAACTGTATCACTTATTAGTACATTAGTTATTAGAATGGAATAACTAAGAGTGAAAGACATATTAAAACATAATCGAAGCTAATTTATTTTAAGGCTCAGTTTAGAGCGAAGCTACGTTATTGCCATATGCTTACTCAATGCTACTGATGATTAAATAAATTTAGATGCAGTAATTTGAGAAGGAGGCAGGCCAAGGTCACATTGCATTTCAAATCTAATAATGTTTTAACTTACTCGTAGTCAAAAGTTGAGCTAAGGTACTATTATTTAACATCGGATCGCTGGTGGCTGATTGCAACTGCGGTGAGACCATCAGATTACTATTGGTTGCACTACTGGCCTTATTGGCACCGCTGGGTGCAACTAACGAATGCTGATGTATTGAATTGCTGCGTGAGCGTGGCTTATTATTTTTAGCTTGATATTTGGGCACAACGAAGTTATCGTGACTTGAGCGTGACTCCAATTTTTGCAGTGTCACATTCAAGGGTAAACTATTCGAACGAATCATTTCACGTGGCATCATATTGACAGACGGTTGTTGTTGCTGCTGCTGTTGTTGACTAAGCTGCTGCATCTGATGCTGCTGTTGGGTTGTTAGGAGATGCTGAGAGCACTGCTGTGGCTGTTGTTGGTGCTGATGACTAGATGAAGGCGATAATTGGCATTGTGCTTGTACCTGTAATTGTAAGGGGCTGGGCAACGAAGTCACCTGACAACCTAAATTCAGTGGTTGGTGTACTTGTTGTGCATTCGTGGTTTGATCGTGCATATAGGGCGAATTCGTATTGACGCGAACATTAATGTAACCGCCAGTGGATGCTGATTTCTTAAAGTTGCTCACACTGGGATAAGGTTTATAAGCGTTTGAGTTGTTGTTACCACTTAGATTAGTGTTGATGCCATAAACGTCATTTGAAGTACTTAAATTATACATGGATAGCATATCGGTGGATGGTGGTTCCGTTTTCACCGTCTGCAACAGCACTGATGTGTTTCCTGTATGTGGTGAGTTGTTAGCATTGATTTGTGTGGGGTTAGGCATACAATTTGTCGTCGTTTGTATTATTGCATAACCTTTGGGCTTTTGATTTACCATAGAAACATTAAGCAAATTGTTGTTAACATTAAGACCACTATTAGCTGATGCTGATATATCTACATTTCCATAGCCACCGTAAACTGCACCACTGCCACCGTCGCCAGTGCCAGTGGGATATTGTGTGGCCGCTGATTGCATTTGTTGCTGCTGTTGTTGTGTTTGATGGTAGGACATACTATGRTGTTGCAGTGCTGTGCAAGATAAGGTAGGCTGTAAATGTTGATTTTGTTGGCTTTTCTGTTGTTCTGCCAACATTTGCTGATAAATTGTGGTTTGATGCAATGTTGGTTGAGCTTTATCATAGTTATGGGGTTCCCGCCTGCGGTATTGTTAAGTTCATCGAAAAACATTTAATATAATCGACATTTATAGTACAGTATACATAATTTTTAGAAGATAAAAAACAAAATCATTGCTAAAGAAAGATAAAATAACAAGAAAAAGGTGGGTGGTGGTTGTATTTTTAGGGGTTAAAAACGTTTAAAATATATATTATTTCAATATATGTAAGAAATAAAAATAGCATGTTATTGTTTTTCTAAGTATTATTGTATATTATATCACCCATATGTTTATCTTCCTTTACCAATGGGTGCCAACCTAATGTGATATTTTTTGACTTGAAAGGCTTGTACCTGGTATATTATAAAATTTTATTTACCTAAATATCCTTTGTGAGTTTTTGGAAATTCGCCCTTTCATAACACTTTTGCTTGGAAATTCATTCCCTGTGGATCGGTTGTTTGAAACACCTTCACTTGTTGAAGGAAAATGTTTGGAGTGAATTCGCATAGATGACGAAGCTGATGTTGCAGAGCCGGGGGAACCTAACCCATCATTAACACCTACGGTTCCCGTCTGATCATCGGTCATAATGGCGTCCACAGAGTTAATTGTCTGCGCTTGATTACATCCCGAGGTGTTCATTAGTTGACTATTACTATTTTCACGAGATAATGGTGCTGGATAACGTTGAACCATTGACGATTGAAACTGTATCGAATCAAGTGGCGCATTTAAGTCTAACATATTGGCATCATCGTTCACAGGTAGTGTATTCGAATTGTTATCACCAACCATATTATTTGACTCTAGTTGATCAGGACCTATGAAGGCAATGTTTGACTAAATTATACTATATTATATAGGACTTATTGAAGAAATACCCATGATTGCGGAGAGGTTATATTCTACATTTTTAAGCATTTCATCAGTGCCTTCCTCTGGCACTGGCGGAAGTCGATTCGGCTGCAACAGCTCTGAAAAAAATAAAGCTTAGTGATAAATAGAAATTAATAAAATAATTATGTATRTGTAGTGCATATGTTTACCATCAATCGTCAGATCGATATCGTCAATGTTCGGCTGAAGAGAGCCAAGGCCAGGTTGTATGAAATCAGCGATTCCCGCACCACGTGCTAAAAAGTGTAATGATTATTAGCAAACAAACTCATTTATTTTAATATTTACGAAACTTGCCTATTTCACGAGGATCTGGAAATGGAAATGGTCCGTTAATTGAAGAGAACAGTGTGTCATTTGTCCAATCATCGGGTATCATTAACATGCGATCGTTCAGTGGAGACCATTCTAAAAAGTCGAATTCACTTTTCTACAAATACAAAAACATAAATAAAGGTTTAATGAAGTATCGATAAATAAAAATAACATAATTTATATTGAGTTACTTAGGCTAAAAGGAATAAATCTTGATATACGTATATATCAGATAAAACTTACTTATGCTCAAAAGAATAAATCTGGGCAGACAAAACGAAAGTAATGAAAGCTCTTTTTCCCACGACAGTCGGGTCTTTTTTCGTGTTCCCACGACAGTCGGGTCTACGAAAACCGGAACGGACCCGGATTTTTATCCGGCCAAGGACTGTCAACTCGGCAGAATTCTGCCGTTACAACAACAACAACAAAGCTCTTTTTAGTAGATTTGTAGAGAATAGAATTTAATAAATTTCATAAAATACATCATATTTGTACTTTTTATACAGGATATGGTTCGAAGTTTCTAGCACTCAGAAAAATACATTGGGGAACTCCGCCCTTTAAAATATTTATAAGCAAGAAAAAACGGTTGCACCGAAGCTATAATGTGCTTAACACAAATAAAAGATTCAACAAAAGAACTTGATTTTGATCGATCAGTTTATATTACAGTTATATATTATAGTTGTTCGATCTGAACAATTTGTTCGCAAATTGTATTGTTATCTTAGACAATAATCCATGCCTAATTTCATGAAGGAATTTTGTTAAATAAAAAAGGTTTCCATACAAGGAATCGTAGTCCCTACCTTTAAAAAATACGTATACTAATTTGGTAACTGAGGAACTACTAGTTAGTGAGATATAGCATTCCGGGTGAAGCAACTTGTGTTTACAAAAAATCTATCAAAAAACATGTGTTAATAAGTAGGGAAATATTCAATGGTTAATTGAAGGCGAAATGAGCACCAAGGACAATGAAGGCAGTGGACGCCATAAAAACAACGTATTGCTCATTCTGAGAAGTGTTTGCGAGCTCTTTAATAGACTACTGGAGTCCAATTGACAGTCAGCCTAGTGGACTGCACATTATGAACCAGTCTTCAAGCATGGAAGGACGAAAAAGGTGACTGGCAAGGTTATAGCATCAATCTTTTGGGATGTACGTGGTATAATATTAATTCAGAAAGGATCAGTTTGAAATTGTGCGCATATACTTCAATACAATACAATACAATATTTTGCACTGCTCTGCGCAATACTTCAAAAATATTTCTGTATATCTCAAATTATAGTAGACCTTTTTATCAACACTGCAGTTATTCCGCTATTTTTTATGTTAAATGTCGAGTTTGGTTTGTTATGAAGCACTTTCGTCCTTCGCCCATAATCTAGAAGCGTAGCGACAATGCCAGAACGACGAAAATTTCAGGGCTTTTTTTTGTGATATTAAAAATATCTGATATATCCAAAAAAAAAAAACTGYCTTCTTCAGTAGCAATAATCAATATAAACCAAATACTAAAAATTAGTGCGGGATTAGCTCTGCGATGTTATTTTTTATTTTTCACTTATTTCTTTATTGTTTTTGAAGTAATAAAATTTTCTGATCCTAAATGGTTATTACATGAATTTTGAAGACGTGCTAATGATTAGAAATATAATTTTGGTATTTCYGAATTGTATTAACCTTTATCCTATGTCCGTCCCCTGGGTCTAAGCTACAACCCCACCAATTTTCAGCAAAATCGGTTCAGCTGTTCTTGAGTTATAAATAGTGTGACTAACAAGACTTTCTTTTATATATGTAAGTATATAGATATATTAGAGGGTCTTCCGTGTTTCTTGCAACGCATAATGATCAGTGTGACGAGTTCAATGGATTTAGCCATGTGCTTTGAGCTGTTTTCATTCGAGAACGGGGCTTGAATAATAAATTACGGACTTCATATACTTTTATTCTGTTTAAAAATATCAGGACAATATTAAKCTTGTCAATTGAACAATATTAATACGGGAATAGAATACTTTCACCGGTAGCCACCCTAATGTCAATTCATCATAGCAGCAGTATTAACAAATACTGTATATTTATTGTAAATATTTTTGTATTATATTGTATTACAACAAAGCCTTATATTTTCCCTAAATCAACAACAAAAAGTGTGTAAGTAGGCAGTTGACAGTAATTACGTAACACTGGCGAGTCCATAAATACGCGCACTTCAAATCGAGTGGTCATATCAATTTTTCCTTACGTACGTAATAACATATGTATACCGTTAATTATGCGGGTTTTGAATATTGAGCGAGTTCTTCGTTTCTACATTATTTTACTGCGTTGTTTGGGAATAATGCCAATTGGCTATTGCCAGAAGGAAAATAAATATGTGTTGCAGACTGGATGGAAGTTTCAATTGATGCATTGGAGCTTCCAATGCATTTATACGATATCGATGGCAATTTTGGTAACAAGAAGAGAGTCGTTCTTCGGTACGAAAAATAATTCTATCGAAAACAACTACTGGAACGTACTGGTTTTCGGTGCAATGTTAGTACAATTCTTGATAAATGCGTGGATTTTGACGCTTCGCCGCTTTCATTTCCACATAATAACCTATTGCATTCATTTAACGGGACAATTATCCGGCATTGCTACGCGAAAAGTTGACCTTTACCAGCTAGTTATGATGGTGGCCGTTATGGGAGCAAGTGCGCTTAACACTTTCCTCTTATGGAACAGATTTTCGGTGCTGAGTACACTCAGAGAAACGTGCCTGCATATACCTTGGCTAATATTTCAAATATACAACTTTATACTCTCGTTCATATTATCGATTTATATTTGCATCGTTCAAATCATAGCTGGACACTTGATTAGCCTTAACAGTTTTATTGCGATGATCACGTTCCAACGACGTCTGCGTATTACCGATATTTATTTGGAAAATATTCAAAATTGTTTAGAAATCTATGACAACATACTATTTATCTGCACTGAATATATAAGTAAAAGTTACGGCGTTATTTTTGTGCTCATTACGTTTATTTCGACGCTCGACATAACCTTCATTGTGTATGGGATGTATACAGGCCTCATGGAGGGATATTTAGAAAAAATTTATTCCGTAGCTCAAGCAGTAGTTTTCGCATTGCCATCTGTCATATTTCTGTGTATGATGCTTCTGGGCAGTAACATACCGGGTCAGGTAAGTTATTGAACGGTGAAGAAACAATGTATATTTAATTTAATCGCAATGCACAAGTCCAGCAAATATTTGATACCAACAAATTTATACATTGAATTTTAGAAATACGAATTAGAATCACTAGTGTATAATGGTTTTCTATTAATACTAAAAAACTATGTGGTATTTTAGAAGCGAATAAGCTCGATAATTTTATGATACTTAGCAGCCTTCTGTCAGTGAAGTTGTGGTTAAAAAAAAGGTGTATTGGTTAAGTTAACCAGAACTTAACTTACAGACGGTTGTTAGACATTTAGAAAACGGACCTTAGTGTTTAAACAGAATTGCGGACATATGGCAACCACGACTGTGTACTATAAAGTCCAACCGGATAAAATGTAGTGTAACAGATTTTAATCACATGACCTAGGTGACCATTTGACAAACTCACTTCCTGATACAATTAGGCGTCAAAAAGCTCATCTGCGTGTCCTGTACTGATGGATAAATAGCCAWTTGTTGATTTGCTTTAAAAATGCATGGATCAATGATTCATCTTGCCCTCACTACTTGCTTGATAGAGAGTAAAAAAATAACGATTTCTCCTTTTAATCAACACAACATAGCAAACAAAATCGAAATTGACGAGAGTTTACACCAATATTCTTAAATTTTTTTAAATAAAAATATGACTTTATTATTTGAACCGTCTCATTCATAGCGTAATTTCTGTAAGTTATTGGTCGTATTAAAAGTTGAAATTTAGGACAACAATACTTGTTCATTGAAGAAGCTGGGAATGAAGTGAAGGTAGGCATTAACGCCATATTTTCTATGTGAAAACATTGTTTTTGTTTTTCATAACTTGTTTATATTGTAAAGAAAAATAAAAAAGGTAGCGTTTCTTTAGGGTCAATAATTTGTCAAAGATTGGACAATATTATAACTAAAGATATTATTAGCTAACCCTAAGACAGATTTTTTGTTTGTAGAACCATCTCGCGGTTAGACCAAATACTTTTCAGACCACGTAGCGGACCTAGATCCTATTGAATGAAACAATAAGTGCAACTAATTACCAGATATAAAATTGGAATATAASTAAACACATTGGACGACAAGCATACTATGTACTTTTCTATGTGATTTAAAATATATCCCATATATATTATTATCAAATCTCTTTCTCCTTCCGTGAACCGTGTGTAGGTACAATAAAATAAAATGAAAATGTCTTAAAAGAGACATGACAAGAGACAGACTAGTAATAGACATCTAGTTAGGTCATATTGCACCCTTAATAACAATAATATTTCAAATACAATGAACAATAACAATGGAAATTTCGTAACTTTCGGCTCATCGAAACCTTCGACGTCCGTACTTATTTAAGGCTATTAATATTGACTGTAATCCGTGGCATGACCACATCAGATCTAAGTTATGTAAACACATATATTTGATTATTTATATTTGATGAAATTGAATTGTAAGCATCAATTAACTAATTAGCCATTTACAGCCAATGTATACATTTGGTTTGTTGAGTTGGTTGAGACGTAAGTTTAGTAACGTTTAGAATGGCGACATTGAAATATTGGCAAATTTACTTGTCACTTATGCGTTTGGTTGGCATTTGCCCGGCCAGTTTTTCGGTGGAAAATAAGAAATTTGTCTTAACCGCACGCGATCTAATTATCGCGCTGAGCATAACCACGCTAACAATGATTATGATGGAGTGTTGTCTTCTGATAAGCATACATTTAGCATTCAGCGGTGATTTAAATATGTTTGCTGATTTCAAAACGGCGAATACACTCTTCTTCGTACAAATTATTGCTGCTACAGTTCTACAACTTTTTCAGAGTATTTACATTTTTGTGTCAAGAAATACTGGAATTGAAATGTTAAATGTGATTTATAAACATATCTGTGTTTATAGTGAACAATTTTTAGTGGGTGATTTTCACATAGATCGCTCTTTTCGGTGGACCTTGATTTTTCATATACTAATTTTTGTAGTATTCGAGATTAATCTACTTAATTCTATTTGGATGCTTAATATGCCACTTTGGCTGATTCTTTCCATTTCATTTTTTTTGACAATTCGTCCAACGTATTGTTTCATAATGATATCTACGTATATTTATATCGTCCATGTGTTGTGTCATATTTTGGCTGCCTACAATAAAAGACTGCTGACGATCGAAATGCATTTAATAAAATTAAAAATCCCGGTCCGTTTAAAATTACATGAACTTTTGATATTGCGTGCTGAGTTGATTTCTCTGGCATGTAAACACATGCGTCAAGTGTATGGTGTGTCTATGCTGTTGGAAACTTGTTATGTTCTATCCGCATTACCCTCATTCCCAGCATTTGTGCTGAAAATCATAARTTGGAACATTCCGTTCAACATTGTATTTCTGGAATATTGCTGTACAGCTCTGACTTGGGTGTTGCCACAACTTCTGATCCTAATACAAGCGATGGCGGCAAACACAATGAACGCTGAGGTAAAATTTTGAAAAAATTAGGGACCGTAACAGTTACGAGGAAATCACCAAAAAATCAAGTTTAATTTTTTATGTATTTGTGCAGTCCTCAAAAAACAAAAATGTGTTATTATTACATCATATAATCTGAAACATCCTTTTTAAAGATTTTTTTGGTTAAAAGTTATGAAATAACAGTTATTTTCTGTTCCTGGACAAAAACTGCTTTACATTTTTTTAGCTTTGTATATTTGCAATGAGGGATGATTGTTAGAATAGAACTAGTGTTAGTCTGACGACTTGAGGCAAGGTTTTATTTACTCATAATTACCAATGCAAAATTTGGACAGCTAAAGAATAACTCAAGATATTTAAAATTTTTTAAGACCTTAGCGAAGTATTCTTGTCAATTTGGTGCAACAAATAGTTAAAAGAATAAACAATTTTTTGGTTGTGCATTGTTAAAAATATCTACAAAAGTGTGTTTCATATTCCGATTTGGTTTGAAAGCCAAATTGACATCGAATATGTTTTTGTCCAGATTAAAATTTGAAAATTTTGCACTTCAATTTTGCTTTCATCTCGAGAGCCTCTATATTTGTAATCGAGAAATTAAAAGAAATGCTTTTTTGTAAGCAAATAAAGGTTAACCGTAATATGTAAAATGAACGAAACTAAAATGCCTTGTATGCCATTAATATGGAAAATATGATGGATTCGATGAGAGAAAATGTTCCGTACTTCGAAAAACATTTCGGCCTTATGCTCCAACCAARGAGTTAAAGAAAGTACTATAGAAGATTGCACGATGCAAAACTCCTATACCGAAATATGCAAGGCCAAAAGAGCACCCATTGCAGAATAGTGATATATGAACGGCTGATTCGGTCAATTTATTGAGAATGACTATTGTGAATTAGCTTCTGCATTTATTCTTAACAAAAACTGTAACAAATCTCCATAACTTAAGTATAAATTATAAAATYTATTTAAAACTTATCTTCCTGAACAATTTAACGGCGAAATATGTCTTTATGTAAAATGACAGCTAAAACAGGGTTGCAATTATATTTTTATGTGTCATTCTACGAAAATAAACATGACAAAATATGTCATTGCAAATAATTTTATACGTGTGTTTATTGCTGTGCCGTTGCATCAAGAGAAAAATTCTGCCATTCGTGCAACAGAATCGCCCTTATATATTTCGAAAAACCAACGTGTGGTAAATTTATGGAAAAAGGACATATTAAAATACAGGTTTATTAGCTAAATTATTAAGAATATAAAAGATAGCTTTTAAGATTATATATATGAAGAAATCTTAGTAGGTTTASGGTATAATACTTTATTTAATATGAATTTAAAATAACCATTAGGCATCAAATGAAAGTATAAATATTACAGACGTTATTTCAATGCAGTTTTATTAAAATAAACAATTAATAATTCATACATTAATATTACGTTTATAAAGGTATTTAAGTAAAAAATATTCCACTTAAAAAAAAGGACTCTTAAATAAAAGTGGTCAAATGAAAGTATAAATTTTGAAAAAATACAAAACGTTTGGTTTAATAGTAAATTTAATAATTATGTCTTCTTTATTCTGGTTAACTGAAGGAAGACGTTTTGGCATGCCTCGAACAAAACTTGTTAAGTTGACGCTTCGTCTCTAAGAAAAATTATTACAAGTTTGTACGGCTGCTTTTTGGTATTTTGGAATAAAAAATTTAATCATAAATGCTTAATTGGATTAAATTCACTTTTTCCGCATTTATTTTCAAATTTTCGCTAATTACTTTATTTCAAAATTTCAAAATGTGGTTGGCACATTTGGATCGAAATGGAATATTTTTCATAAATTTTAATAAGAACCGATTCTCTACAATTTTTTTATATTTTTTACTAAGAACAGAACAAAAAAATGTTCACTATAACAGAAATTCCCTTAGTAAATACAAATGTTTAAATTTGTAGTAAAATTCAGTTTTATCTTAAAAAAAAATGAACCAAAACTAAAATTATACTTTCATTTGACGCGCACTCATAGGCAAAAACTAATCACTCTCGATGGAGTAAGTTAATTTTGCGTCTAAATAATAAGTGTAAAGATTACTCAAACTGTTTATTTACATAACGGTGCGTCTACATAAAATGCTTTATGAATTTATTCTTAATCGAAAATGAAGGAAGTATATGAATGATCTGACATTTATACTTTCATTTGAAGCCTAGTGTAKCTCATTAGATTATATGATACGGAGGAATCATAGTAGGTTTTCCTGCGATTAGGAAGCCCAAATATTCATGCAGTTTTGTGGCGATCCCAAAATGTGTATATAGATTTATATATGTTGAGGAAAGCATTGGCCAATCAGTATTTTCAAAGTCTAATATTCAAAATCCAATTTTTCTATCAGGGTCGATAGGAGGATATTATAATATATTATATATTAGTGATTTTAAAAATAAAATGATAAATTAAAATTTAAAATTTAGCGCAATTAAAATTTAAGTTTAATTTAATTTTTTTAAGACTAGAAAAAAAACTACTGTGATATAAATATAATGACCTAGCAATTTGATAAAAATTATATGTATATATATTTTTAGGCGAACAAGACCGTCAAAATTCTTGCAAAAATTCCGCACACTGGAACTGGACTGGACAAAATGGTGATTATTATTTATAGATTATTATGATTATGGTGCAAAATTCAAGAGAGCAATGACTCTTATGAAAAACTTAAAACTTAAAYTTGATATRTAGTAAAAAAAGTAGGCAGAAATGTATCTTAGATATAACCCGTTTAGTGTCAAAAACAACTGTCACGAGACAATACTATTATACTAATATCTAACACGGTATACAAATATTTTTAAAAGCCCTGTAATATGAACATTACTAAGCGAAAACTTATTTCAAAAATTSTTTTTTACATTAGGTTGATAAATTTCTGATGAAAAATATACGTAAGAAACCGATGTTGACGGCTTATGGATTTTTTCAACTGGACCGCAGCGCTTTGTTCAAGGTTTGGTCTTTAGTTCAAATTGGTTACCCTTTATATATTAATCTTATGTTATTTCTAATCTCTCAGCTTTTTACTGCGATTATTACCTATATTATGATTTTAGTGCAATTCACAGATATTGAAAACTCCTTAAAAACAAAACAAATTCAAACAAATAAAAACTAAACCAAAGTGAAAATATATAATTTTTATTACATGAAGTAGGTAATGATACCTTTGTGCCTAGCACCCACAGAATTAGAGTTGCTTACTTCTGGCAACACTTTCTACTACTGCACTGCTTACCAAGACACTTCTGGCCAATATGGGGTACGAGGCTACTGTTTTGATTGCTGCTTGACTGTCTACGTAGATGTTGACTTTGAATTTGCCTGCAGGAGCATTAAAGTCCAGCTCCGCWGCTTTCGCAATAGCAGAGACCTCAGTTGAAAAGTGGAGTCATGTAGTCGGTGTTTGCCCAACCACCATTACTCACCGAGCTATGCCCGAAAGTTCTGAATGAAAATTCTCCTGCAGGAAGTAGTCGTTCCGCCGATTTTACTGCGCAGCTTTCAACCAAGTGGTCTACAAGAGCCTAAGTTAGTGAGCCAGAAAAAAAAAAACTAAATATAAAAACTTTAACTTCGGCTGCACCGAAGGTGTAAAACATTTCCATGGGCATTTCGTATACCATACAAGAGCATAAGAGATWTTTGTATATATGCTACRGTGGTCCGATATCGGCGATTCTMACCAAAGGTGCAATGTTTGGTATTGATACCTCAAAAACTGAARGGCGGACACWGTTAAATCGACTCAGCTCGTCACGCTGATCACTTTAAGTTTCCTTCGTTTCTTTCYGGGTATTACAAACTTSTTGGCAAACTTAAAATRCTCTRTTTAGGGTATAAATATAAATGTATTATCCCAAATCATAACAACCTTTTTAAAAATAGGTACTCAAAGATAAATGAAAAAATATTAAAAGGAGAAGTGAAGCTYAAATTTTTTTTAGCAAAGCAACATTATTTATCAGAGTATTGATACCGTATAAATAATTTGTATTATGGGTACTGGGGACAGATCAATGAAGGTTTTGAGTAGCAGATTGTAAATTTGACTATAACAAAAATTATGTGAACAACTCTGCACTAACTCTYCAAGAACTGGATTATTTGATATACTAATCTATATATGTATATACTACATCTAATATTACAAATTCAGTAATTTAGTGAAAGTAACCGCAAATAATATACAAGTATGAAACAAGTACAAGTACCGAAATAAATGTGATTCGCTGTGACATCAACATCACAATCAACTTCATTCGTAAAGTGCTCTTATTTTTTCTTAGTGAATTACTCGATAATCAAAACTACTATTCATAATACTATCTTTATGTATCATAARTAAATCACTACTTACCGTATCGTAAGTGAGGCAACCAGCAGTTTTAGATTTCGAATTTTTTCGCCATTTCCTGTATTCAGCTTTGATAACGGTGGTTTGACGTTTCCAATATTTCCCTTCTAATACAACCGCCTGCAATAAGAAAATATGAAATTTATTTATATAATTTAGTAAAAATTATGCCTAGAACTATTATGATCAATCAATAAAAAATAATACAAATAAAGTTTTAATATATTTCAAAGATCGTAAACAACACGTGACCTTGTCATTTTCGGGTGCGTATAGCAATGCTTCTTATCTGAGTCTCATTTTGGTCCGCATTCGACAGCGGCGACGCAATCCAAAAAGAAATGTACTCAATTTTTAATATAGAAAATTTAAATGATTGATATGGATTTATGATAGACAATAAACCGAATGACAGATCGATGGTTTCACGATCGTGCTTTTTTATGCATTAACAAAAACCTTGTTTATAAATGTATGTATTTATATGTACTTATGTATTTAAAAATTAATTTGAAGCACTTGCCTGCGGGTTGCTATGGATGTCAACGTCCAATGGTGATGCAAACTGGCACACGGGTGTCCTACGYTTCAGTATGACTGCAAAGAGATAACAAATGTGGTATATGAAGTTAAATCACAAACGTCTAAGCCAGTAATAATCTCGCAAAGTATTATGATTGCAATGGATATGATTAGAAACGATTTTTATATAATGTTTAAGTATATCTACTTCAGACGACTAAATTGTATATTTATATTAGACTCTTTTCGTACAAAATAGATATATGTGCATATATAATGCTCGTACTCCAAGAGACATGATAACTCACATAACACTACAGTTATGAGCATATTTAATAGCTTTTTAAGCTAAGAGATATAGTAATATTTTCGCTGTAATATTTTCGCTGTAATAATACATTCGTTCTAGAAAAAGTCGTTATTTAAAAATAGTCGATACCACATATTAAGTAAACTTTGATTTGATTTGCAATTGCATTACCTGAACGAAATGAGGATTTGACTAAATCCAATAGTTACAATTAAGTTTGTTAACGAAGCAATTCAGCCAGTAATGGGCCTCATCTGAGAAGATAATGTTTAGATGAAAGAGAAATTGTGTTTTTTTTTTGTGAATATGATTTCTTATAATAATCTTGGACAAATTCCAAGCGTTGTGACAAAATTAAATGTGCTATTATGAAATGGCAAACACTGACAAAGTTTAACACCAATCCATAAATAAATGTGGCCGCCGCGAGCTGTTAAAATCACGTCCTCTCTATTGGTAGAAGCTGTACATATGTATGTATGTACAAAGATAAAAATGAAGTGTCCCGCTTTGTCTGAGGTAATCTCTTAAACTACTAGACCGACTTTCATAAAATTAAGCGCACTGTGCCCAATTTGACCTAACTTAAAAGACAGCCAAGTTTATATCTCAATTATGTTAAATGCCAAAACCTTTAGAAATAAGTAAAAATATATTAATAAACAAAAAGATGTGTTCAAAATTAAAAAAAAATTTTGCCATTATTATTATTTTGAGGAAAATTCCAAATGGAAAAGTCACTATGTATTTTTTTCATTGATACATATTTGTGTCAACCATTTTCAAAATTAATTTGATTAAATTCCAAATAGTTTATAGTAATAGTATATACCATAGTCACAACAACGCCCGGGTAGATTTACTAATATAATGGATATGGAGTATAGAGTAGTCAAAATCTCCCTACCAATATAAAAAAAAAAAATTATTCTACATAAAAATAATTTTAATAATAATTCAATTTTTAAGGGGGTCAGTAGGGTAGTGTAGTCTGTTTTTTGACATTTTTTTATAGAAATTTTTATTCTACAATAGAACTTTTGATAAATAAAAAAGTAACTAACGCTTTTTTTTAATTTTCCCCATTTTTTTACATAAATTTTATCATAAGTTGTCAATAAATTATAAAAAAATATGAATTATGAAATAGGAACGACAGCCGGGCGTTTGGTGAATATTTAAAATCGGCAAATCGGCTACCAGTCTAAAAAAGTGAGAAAAACGCGTTTAGAGCTTGATGGATGCACCGAGCGCTCCAAACGTCGAGCGGTATTATAATTTTTTACGAAACCTTAAAATGGTAAAGTTGGTTTCTACATTAATTCTAAGGGTATAAGGGAACAGAAAATGCAAAAAAAAAAATTGGAAAAGATTACCCTACTCAAACTTGAATTAAAAATAGAAAATTATATTTTTAATCCAAGATATTGAGATTAAATATAGAAAATTTTATTTTTAAGAAATTTCACAGGAACTATGATTTTTAATAACCTAACCTAGTAGTTCTATTAATAGCATATAAAACGAGTGAGAAATAATACAAAAAAAAACTATGTGTAAAGGTAGTATCCAATATGACATGTTTGCATATTTTGTACTCAGCACTGTATATATAGTTGTACACAAACACACAGAGTATTAAGTGCAAAATTTTAATTTGCACTTAAAAGTCTATTTCATTGCCGCCATACAAAAATTATAACTAACTAAAAACAAATCGAGTTAAAAAATGTTTTAGTGTTTTCACAAAGTGGTTTGCATTCAGTGCGCTGCAACGTATAATGAATAAGGCGTGTTTCCTGGAAACCAAGTCATTTAAATAATTTTCTTGACTACAGTAACTCACAAAAAGTATATTGCAACAACATATTCAAACATATTCTGTATATCAAGGTTACAGAATTCCATTTTGACTTAATAAACATTTTTGTAACTAAGTTAAACTCTCTGATAAAATTGGTATTTATGGAATTGAAGTTTGTTTACTTCTTAGTTAAGTAGTGTGTAGTATATACAAAACAATTTTGTATCGAAAGAATCCTTCTTTCGGAAAATATAACCGGTCTTGAATTCTTAACTATAAAATATAGTTGTGAATTTGTAATTTTTTCGACTATTGAGAGGCACTATGAAAGATAATTTGTTTCGATTAGAAAAAAAAAATCTGGTTAAGTTTTTGTCAAGTTGGCTAAGAATAGCAATTGATAACAACATAATGAAATAATGAAGTTAAAACACGTGGAAAAAATAATAAAATGTTTTATATTTTTTTTATTTTGAGTTTATCTCGAAAATTAAATGAAAAGACTACTCGAGATTTAAATTCATTTATAGAACTGATAAGATGATCCTTTGTTTTAATTATACCTTGAACAGGGTGCCACGAAATATCTATTTTTTTTGCACACAGCCTTTTATACCTAAAGAAGCAGTTCATTTGTCGGAACCAACGATGTCAGACCACTATGTCATATAGTGCCATACAATCTGACAGATCATAACCTTGCCTTGTTTTGGAAAATTATTTATACAGGGTGGCGCACGAATCTGTAATAACTTTTTATCTCCGTGCTCTCTTACTTTTATTTTTATTTTACATGTTATTATTAATTTTTTTAAATGAACGATTAGGATAGTGCAGCGGTACCAGCTTTGCAGTTTAAAGAAAATTCATACAAGATTTTAGTAGCACACCCCCGAATAGATGGACCATTATGAAGATGCCGAATCTGGAAGTTCGGCAAAAATACCGTACCATCGAGATCCGTATATTCGTGTTCAAGAAAATATCGCAGCTGTTGCATCGTCTATTCAGGCAAATCGAAGAGTTTCGACTCGCAACTTATCGGCCTAACTTGGAGTTAGCAGATAGTCATTACATCGGATTATTCATAATGAAATTAATTAAACCTGCTATGGCACAAACAAGCCAGTTAAACCCTTTGAGCTAAACGGGAATATAAATAAGCCAATTTGAAGTATATGGAGTGAATCAAATCCAGAAATAATCCAGGGCTTCTTTGAAGAAAATAGTGTCAATGGGTTTATGAGTTTTTTTAGTCATAACTGCGCCGAAGCCGTTTCTCTGTCAATAGCGTTAGGTTTCAGAAAGATGGAGTAAATGCACACATAGCCAAACCGGTTATTTCGGAGCTCCTATGAACATTTGAAAACAAATTAATATCCAGAAACTCCACTTTCCTCTGTCCCCTAAGATCAACTTTTGACTCTACCAGACTTATTTTCGGGAGTTTATCAAGCAAAAAGTGTACAAAACAAAACCCAGAAATATGAGGGAATTGAAGCAGTCTATTAAATCAATAATTGACCAATCGCTAGCCGTTTGGAACCTGTTACTTAGTTTAGTTTTTAAAGACTTTGCAAACAAATATTCTAATAATACATTAAATGTAACTCACAAAAATGCAAATATAAATTATGTATTCAGCGAAACCAATGTGATAAAAGTGAAGGAGGGACGCAATTCGATTTGGGCAATGGACAAAAAACAGGATGTTGATAAAATACCTTTTTGTGGTGAGTCAGAATAACTTCAAAATTTCCACTCAAATACTAAAGGTTTTAATTTTTGGTAAATTGGTGAATATTACTTATTAAAGTAATTGTTTTTAGCCATTGAAATAGCCGCCAATGTATTTTCTTCTCTCTATTTTAAGTTTCTGTCAAAAATGCTTTTCTAGATAAGTATAAAAACTGTCAGAAATTAAAATCTTGTTATAATAACGGTCGTAAAAATTAATTTTTTTCATTAAATAAAGTATGTAATATAATGAAAGAATATGCAAGCCGAGGGTTCACTTGAAAAAAAACTACACAATACGTCGGGGCTGAAATATACCTATGATATGCCAACTTGAGATATGGGGACTTGTATATAAACATATGGGAATATGTAAAAATATGTACATCTAACGTACATATGGTTCTTGTTATCGTCTATCTTGTGTCAAAATATTACACAGAGATAAACAAGGCTGATAAAAAATAAGGTATTTAGCCAGAAGATTAGCGGAAATATTTATTTTGGTTTATCAAAAGCACCATTTGCAATAACTGCCTAATATCATACACTGAAAAATATATGCCCTGTAAGATTTGCGTTATCATTAGCAGCGCATTTAAAGAATAAAGATATTTACATAAATTGTATATTTTAATTTTGCAAAATAACCTTGTTTATATGTATCTATGTATGTAATAATATTATAACTCACATTGCATGTGCCAGCATCGCCAAATTACATTGTTCAAACGAATTTTATCCTTCCAGCGCAAGCGAATTCCTTTGAAATGATTCCATTTTGGGGATGTTAATTTTTGACTGTAAATTACAAAGTGTTTTGGTAAACAATTTTATATGTATCATTAATATAAGAGACATTGTAAATTATTTTTGAACAGTTATAGCAATTATAATAAAAGTCATCCATAAACCTTATGTGGAGTATGTATGTAATTACAAATTTCTTTGTTTCAAGTTTTGAGAAAATTTGCCACGGTAAAATATATATTTTTTAAGTTAACAGAAAAAAGGAAATTTAACAAGAAAAAAAAAACAAATCTTTCACTAAATAAAGCTACTACTTATTTACACCAAATTTAGTGAAAGATTTTTATTTTTGCGCAGGATACCAAAATTTTAAAGTTATGTGGAAAATTTGTATAATTAAAATTTGTAGATCTAATCATTAACTTAACATATGTATATAATTTTTCTATTGGGCTCGTAGTAGTTTTGTTAGAAAATGTTACTTTCATTTTTACTTTATGATTCTTTTCCAATTGGTTTCAATACACCATGATTTTTTTGCTTTCAAAAGTTATCTGCCCTGGCCTAATATAGTAGAATATGTCATATTTTATCATAATTAAAAACTGAACTTCGTGTGAAAACAATTTCGCAAAAATTAATAAATATAAAAGTCTACTAATACTTGCCTATTGTCCACTAGCAAAAGTTTTTATCATTTTCAATGAAAAAATAATTCCCCATAATCGATAATCAGAGTGTAATAGTTTCGTTTACTTATCTGTGGTGTGTAAGTTGTATACACGTATGTATGTACATCAAAATTATCATGATGATGAGACGAATTGAATTCTCGATGTCTGGCATGAGTAAAAATAATCTTGATGCAACTCACTGCACGTGTTTCTTGGCACTTTGAGGTGGGTACTGCAGATGGGCAAAGGTAGTTCAGTTTACCATAATGTTAACACAACAACGGCATTCTCCTAAACATATGATGAACCCAATATAGATAGACAGAAAACTCCATCATATTAATTATTACAAATATCTGAATATCCAGGAAAGGTAAACCACAGAATCAGAAATAATTTTATTACAGATATGGAATACATATATATCAAAGTGTAAGTTGATTTCATTCATATGTAAAAACATGTACTAAATAATAAATTTCAATGAAGATTGATATATATTGACTAACATAACATGTTTAAAATCAGTTGAATAAAATGTATGAACTCTTTGCAATTTTGTCTACAAGGTGCGTTCCAAAGTAAACAGGACTTTTTGAATCTAGCCCCTGGTGGCGGCGTCTATATGTCGACTGGTGCGTTAGAATCTGCTATCTTAATCGATTCATTGAGTAAGAATTTCATGACATTTCATATATTGGAAGTTAAGTTATTGCGTTTTAAGTGTGTGTGTTTGTGAACAAAGAGCCAAAATTGAATTTTGTTTTAAAATTGGTAAAACTTTTACCGAAACGTTTCAATTGATGAAACAAGTTTATGGCGATGATTGCCTACCATGTAGCAGAGTGCACGAGTGGTTTCCATATTTTCAAAGTGGGTGTGAGGACACACACGACGATAAACGTGTGGGCCAATCAAAGTCCGTGATCACCGGAAATTCCATCGAAACTGTACGGAATTCATAAAATTTCAGCCGAAATCATCATTGAAATTCATTTAAATTGAATTGAACATCTCCAAAACATCTATTTATCAGCTTACGAAAGGTGTGTGCACGGATTGTTCCGCGCAAATTGACTGACGACCAAAAATTGCTCAGAATCCAACATTTGATTGACGCTTGTTAATGGTGATTTGACCAAAAATCACATTTTAACCATTAACCGCTCCCCGTATTCACCTGATATGGCACCGTACGACTTATTCCTTTTTGGAAAAATTTATGCTCATGATTGCAGCAGAAGGAGGCTATTTTGAATAAAATAAATTGGTTTTGTCGAAAAAACCATTTCTTCTTTTTTTTTTATATCGGTCAACTATATGTTACAAATTATTCATTTTATGCATAYGGAGGAACTACTCACAGAAAAAGATGCATAGTTTAAATTTGAAGGTAGGTATACAGATTCCACCAAAAGGGATTACATGATTTTGATAGCTTTCTGCGGCCATGTTTKTTTACGTATTTGTGTAAAATTTGTCAGTGAGTTCAGTAAGGTTTGCTATTTCATCATGTCACGTTTTCTATGGTACAAGGCTGAGTCAAATCCTCGTGTGGTTCAGRAAGCGCAATTCCATCCACAAAGTCAATGTGATATATCGGCATCATCGGACTTTATTTCTTTCAAAATGATGCAAGGAATGCCAATACCGTCAATAGCGGACGATCTCTATTTCCAACAAGACGGTGCGACATCTCTTGTTTCACGTATAAACATGAACACATTGCGTACAAAGTTTTGCGTCTCGTTTACTTCGAGAAATGGCTTAGTCAAATAACTGCCAAGATCAAAAGGTTTAACACCTCTAGATTATTTTCTCAGAGGATATGTTAAATCAAGGTTCAAATCAACGGGCAACGCTGGAGGAGCTTGAAGACAACATTCTGCGCACTTTAGCCGCAATGCAAAAAAAAAAATGTTAGTGTTATTTCATTTTAACATCACGTCTTTTTCGTTGGTATAGGTACATATGTATATACTYGTATATATAAAGCCTGGAAGTTCAAAAATCTCTATATTAGGAAGTATTGACCAGAAATTCCCCATTTATGAATTTCATTTCAGGTAAAAGTCATAGACACATGGATACACATCGATATYTGGGGTGTTGAAAAGTTAATGTCCGATTTCGATCATATTTATTAATTATTCTATATTTTAAAGGTTGAATTGTGTAAAGTTGAATTTCGATAGTGCAATTGGCTCTAGACTTATGTATACACTGTAAAGTGAAAGCATCATATTGTACTTAAATCTGTRATATATGGGAAGTAGGCGTGCGCGATCTCGCGCATTTTCACAAGGAAACACATTAAATTTGATTTATGTTGGTCAATTAGGTTCTGACTTACAGGTTTTTACCTAAAGCTAGGCGATACACGTCTATGGTCCAATTTTCACAGCAGCTCCTAGTAGGCAGAACCGCCTCCTAGGAACAGGAGGTCTTTTCTTATCTACGTCGACAGTTAACCGTTACAACAACATCAGACGCTTGTGTATTATGAAAGATGTGAAATTGAATTTTTCTAATATATTTATTAAGGAGAGTATTACGAAGTTGTCGGGGCCCTTACTGTTTTGTATCTTAATTTTGAGCTTGGTTTTCTATAATACCATTTTTTTTATATATCAAGTTTCATCAAGAAACCTTATGTTTTACTTAAATTACAACCGGCACGAACTAACAGCCAGTCCACTGGAATTCAACTCGTTTCATCATTCTGATCATTTATGTACTGTGTATACTTTTAGACACAATCGTTAGGTGAACAAAACTGCTACATTCTCTGTTGCAAATTCTTGCGACAGTATAAAAATGCAAATTCAGCATTTTAGTGCTAATGCTAAACTAATTTCTGGAGAAATCAAGAAAAAAATTGTTAACTAACCAACACAATAGTGTTTGAAGTTGCGGTTACGCATTAATAATGCGCATCGTACGTTCTGGACTAACGACTACATTTGCAAAATGTATTTTTTGTTGTTCATCTTTTTCATTAGAATTCTTACAAGTATTTATAGAACTTTAATTGTGAACGTCAATATTTATATTAGTACGCAATATGCGTACACGATGGTTCGAAGGCAATTAACGTCATTCTAAAAGATCAGACAAAGAAATATTTACCTGCTTCAATTTACATCTAATCTTTAACGATACAACAATGGGATGATTTTATTGACTTTCTAACAGTATGTGCCACTATTAAAGTAAAAATAAACTTCCAGGGTAAATTTTTTGGTTTTTATTGTTACGGGTTTGCGAACAGATGCATTCCAATACAATCTGGAGCAGCTATTCGTCTCTCTGTATATACGAGAACTAGTCTCTTAGTTTTTGAGATATCGATCTGAGATTTCGCACACCTCCTTTTCTATACAAGAAGCTGATTATTTGTCGGAAATGCCGATATTGGGTAATTATAACATAAAGCTGCCATACAAACTAATGGTCTAGTTCTTGTATGGAGAACTTATTCATTTGGCAAGACATTTTCACGAAACTCGGCTAAGATTATTGCTCATGGCAAAACTGAAATCTCTGCAAAAATATATCGCACCAATATAGCATATTGCTACTATACAAACAGTGCATCTTGTATGCTATTTTTTTGCATTTGTGGAGGATATTATAGCGTTGGTGTATCTGAAGTTAACATTCTTTTCTTGTTGTCGTATACTTTTTATGTAAGTATGTAACTTTGATTGGAGGATGGAGTCATATGTAGAAGTTGACGCAAGTGAGGAAAGTTCTCTGATCGACCYTCACTTGGGAGTGGCCAGAAACGATTCCTTTACATATGACTCAAGCAGCTTACGACTTCCGTCACGTAAAAAATCATACCAATGAAAACTACCAACAGCCTCGCATGAGAGACCCCCATTTTGATGACGACCATGGAAAATGAAATAAGGACTACGAATTGAGGGCATGCRCCTGGAATGTCCGGTCCCTTAATTGRGAAGGTGCCGCTGCCCAGCTGGTTGATGTCCTTGAAAAAATAAAGGCTACATCACCGCCGTCCAAGAAATGCGATGGACGGGACAAGGACAGAGACAAGTAGGTCCTTTTGGCATTTACTACGGTGGCCATATAAAGGAGCGCAAGTTTACTGTGGGATTCGTGGTGGGAGAGAGACTCCGTCGCCGAGTACTATCATTCACTGCGATGAATGAACGTCTAGCCACAATCCGCATCAAAGCGATGTTCTTCAACATATCGCTGATTTGCGCCCACGCCCCGACGGAAGAGAAGGACGTTGTGACCAAAGATGCGTTTTATGAGTGCTTGGAGCGCACTTACGAGATCTGCCCCCGCCACGATGTCAAAATCGTGCTTGGCGACTTTAACGCCAGGGTAGGCAAAGAAGGTATC